GCCAGTCCCCCTCCGTCCGTCGCCCTCTCCGTCCCTCCCTCTCCGTCGCTCCCCCTCCCCGTCCGTCGCTCTCTCCTCTCCCTCTCTCTCTCTACCCCTTTCCCTCTCTCCCTCTCCTCGTCTATTTATTTTCCCTCTGTGGCTGGAACATATTGAAGGGGAGGAGAAGGCGACGCGGAGACCCCCGTGCGCCCAGCAGTTTAACGATTTCAAATGAGCCCGGCGCGGCCTGACAGTCCCGTGTCAGGGCGGCGATGACGGCTAAAATTACCCGGAATCAATATCCTCACCGGGTGTCCCGGGCTGATAAGCTCCACCAAGACAATGTTGACTATTAAAGTCGACAGCTTGAGATATTACACTATTAGTTATGCTATTTTTAATAATCTATAATATTTGGGCGATAATTAATTAATTATACGGGTCAGATAATATCTAGGGCTGGAATGAGGTCTGAGGACCCATTACGGCGGTAATGAGAAAGGAGAATCTAATCTGGGGCAGGTGCCGCCACGCCGGGTGCTGGGCCCGGCCGCCGCTGCCTGCAGGCTGAGCAGCACCTTCACCTCGGCCGGCCTGGAGCTGAGGGTGGGCGGCGCGGGGCGGCGCGGCGGCGTGCGGGTGCCTGGGGCCGCTCTCCTGTGCACCTGGAGCGTGCCCCGCCCCTTTCGCTGCACCTGCACCATCTCTGCGTCCGGGGGCCCAGTACTGCGTCCGTCCGGACACCGCCAGTGCCTTCCCCGCACACAGGCTATGATCCCCACTGTGACCTGGGCTCTGGGGCGAGTTCACTCTCTCCCCTACTCCGATGCCACCCCAGAGTCTTTCTGCTGCCCAGGACCTTTGCACCAGTCGCTGGTCACCCTACTGCTCCAACATCGCCTCTTCAGAGGCCCCTGCCTGTCCACATCCTGCTGCTGAGACAGCACTCCTGGAGGACGCACCTGCTTCTGCGGTTTGTGATGCCCAGGATGACCACCCCCGGGGTGGCAGCTGCCAGGAAGCACTGCTCCTCCCGGCTGGAGGCTCTGGGGTGAACAGCAGCAGCGCAGGGTGCCCACCCTGGGTGGGATCCGGGCTGTCCTGTGGGTCGCCTGGGTCTCAGCAGCGCCATCTCCTGGACGCTGCGGACCCCGACTCTGGGAACCTGTGTGCTTGCAGAGGGTCACCAGGCTGTCTGCCTCCTACCAGCTCCCACACCAGGACCTTAAATAGTGCCAGTGACAAGTGCTCCTGCCCAGAAAAAGTGTTTTGTTGGCCTAACCCCTAGGAAGTTTTTAAAAGTCGTTTTTGTGGTGTTGGGGGTCAAACCTGGGCCCTGCAGGAGCCAGACGAGGGCTCTGCGGCCGAGCCCCACCCCAGCAGATTACGAGCATGTTAGTGTGCACACACATGCGTGTGGGTGTGTGCAGACTCCCACTGCCCGCTGCAGTCTCTTGTCCTCTGTCTCCCACATGGAGGGAAGCCTGGCCGGTCCCACAGTCACCCTGACCCTACCCCTAGGGTTCCTCGTTGTCCTTGTAGTCGGGTTCCCAGGTGGCCAGAGCACATTGTTCTGCAGGGCAGGAAGGGCTTGGGGTGGCAGTGGCTGCTGGCTCAGGAAGGAAGCACGAGGACAGACACATCCCTGGTCGGACCTGCACTGCCTTTGTCCTTTTCCAGCTGTTTTGGGGCAGTGAGTTGAACATCCCCATGGTAAACACAGTATTTCCAACATACACGAAAACACAGCAAGGACACTGGTTCCCTGGGCTCTGTGGTTTCAGATGCGACAGTTGTCACCAGTGTGTCACCAGTGGAGTTCTCCTGTTCAGAGCCACAGCGTCCTTCGGGAATAGTTAAACGCACCCAGGCATGAAAGTGCTTTTCCTGTGTTTCAAGCGGCGAAAAGAATAGCCTCTGTTCAGACTGGAAAGGAAAAAGTGCAGCCCTCCCAGTGCCGAGACGTGTGACCAGCTACACCGGAAGCCCGGCCCAGAACAGTGCCAGCGCTGCTGACTGGCGAGGCTGGCGCAGACCCCCAGAGCGGCTGCCGAGGTGGTACGGGCCCCAGCCGGAAGCCTGCTGTACCTGGTTTTCCCAGCTCTGGTCACAGTGCTGCACCTTGTGAGCCGTACTTTCCGCCTGTGGATGAGGTCGAAGCTGTCAGTGGGGTGCAGACCAGGCATGCGGAGGGGAGACGTCGTGTGTTCTCAGGGTGGACCCCTGGCCCTGCAGCATCACTCTGTCCTGTGTTGCGGGGTGCGCCTTGCAGGTGTTGTGCTGAAGATCTCTGCAGATGTGTTTGCAGGAGGTTTCTCTCTGCCGGTTCTTTTCCTATCCTTTCTCGGGTTCAGGTCTATGGTGATACCACTGCCTCATAAAGTGCACTGGAAACCTCACCCTCTGTCCATGTCCTCCGAGGTTGTGTGGGACTGCATTGCTTTTCTTTCCTTCAGTGCTGCAGGTGGAACCCAGAGCCTTGCGCACGTGAGGCGCACACTCAGCCGCTAAGGTACACCCCAGCCCGTTGCTGATTTTTAGACTTTGAGACAGGGTCTTGCACTGTAGCCCAGGCTGGTCTTTTGTTCCTCCTGCCTCAGCCTCCCAAGTTGCTGGAATAGGTGGGAACTGGCATGCCTAGCTGGAATTAGAGTTGCATTTATCTTTAAGTACAGTACATCTCCTATTTATGAACATTCCAGTTGCAAACTTTCACAGCTACAAGTGGACCTCCCATTACGAACACTTGTAGATTCAAACAAATGGCAGAAGTGGCTCATGTGTCTGCCTGACACGGTCACGCCTGTGCTGCTGTGTGCTCACTGCACGGTGCAACAGTGCGCGCAGCACAGTTCTCAGGCAGAGCCCAGGGTGTCTGGGAGCAACAGGAAGAGCAGTGGTGATGTGACGGCTAGGACGGGCAAAGCAGTCACCAGAGAAACAGAAGGGAAGACGCTGCGCAGTCCTGTACTGCACCACCACTTTAAGGTAACTGTGGAAGTAAAACGTTTATTTACTAGGGCATGGTGGCCCATTCCTGTCATCCCTGCACTCAGGAGACTGAGGCAGGAAGGTCACTATGAGTTCAAGGCCAGCCTGGGCTACATAAGGGAGCTCAAGGCCAGCCTGCATTGCAGAGCAAGTCCCTGTCTCAAACAAAAAAGTTTATCTACAGCATTGTGTGTGTCTGTGTGTTTGGTTTTTGTATGCTTTACATTGTATATCTGTGTCAAAGCTGTCTAAGACTCACTTTGTCTGACTTACAAATGAATCCAACTTACGTCCTCCCAAGCAGAGCTTGTTTGTAAGTCAGTGACTCTGTAGCATTTGCCAGCGAAGCTGCTCGGCCTGGAGTTTCTCTTCTGGGCCGTTGCTGGTGGTGACTTCAGTGCATCAGTAGACACAGGGCATCGGGGGCCTTGTTCTCGGTGAACCTTCGCAGTTTGTGGTTGTGTCTGTGTACACAGCGCCCCATCCTGCTGTCCTGCTCTGCACAGGGAGCCTCCGCCCCCAAGAGCCCTGTATTCCTGTGACTGGAAGTGGGGTCTGTCTGGCTGGGGCCTTCAATTTTATTAACAAAACACAAGCTTCTGATTTGAGCAGACGCTGCCCAATTCCGTGGACTCCTGCTTTAGCTTTGTTTTTTCCATCTTCTGGTTGCTTGGGTTTGTTTGTTCGTTCATTTGTTTTTGGTTTTTGGGTATTCTTTTTTTTTGTCTTTTTGAGATGGTCTCTATGCAGTTCAAGCTGGCCTTGGGCTCACTTTGTAGCCCAGGGTGGTCTCGAACTCGCAATGATCCTCCTGCTTCAACCTCCCTCCCAAGTGCTGCGATTATAGGTGTGTGCCACCATGCCCGGCTCATCCATTTGTTTTTGCTCTTGTTTTTCTGCTTTCTTGAAGTGGAGATGCGGATTATTGATGAGGTCTTCAAATGTAAATATTTATTGCGAAAAGTTTCCCTCTGAGTACTGCTTTACCCAAATACCACACATTTCAACACTTTCCATTCAGTTCAAAGTGTGTTCTAGTTTCCCCTGAGCTGTCCGTCTCTGCTCCATGGGTTATTTAGAAGGGTGTTGCCTACTTTCTAAACATCTAGGATTTTAGAGATTCCTTGCTGTTACGGACTTCTAGTTTGGTCCCCTGATTGTCAGAGTGCGTGCTTTATACACTTGCGATTCTTCAACATCTCTTAGGTCTGTTTTGTGAGCCCTACAAAGTAGTTTCGTGGATACTGGTAAGAAAGATCTTGCATCTTGCAGCTGCTGGGCAGCTGCTCCAGGGCTGCCCAGGTCCTCTCCATCCTCGATGGCCCCCTGCCTGGCCGCCCTCTGCCACCACGAGGGCATGGTGAGGTCTCCATGGCACCTGGAGGCTGTCATTCCCGCTCTCGGGACCTGTTTTTGTTCCATGTGTTTGAAGGTCTGCTGCTGGGGAAATGTCCAGGCTGATCTCAGGGCTTCGTGGTGGAAGGACCCTCAGCGTGTCCAGAAGGCATCTGTTCAAGCCACTCCTGCGGTCTTCTGTCAGAGTGTCAGAGGTGTGTTTTGTGCATCCTTTGACTTCTGACTTCTTGCCATAGCTACATTAAAGTGGATTTTGTGTGGCCAGCAGGTAGTTTTGTTTTTTGTTTTGTTTTTTTTTAAATCCAGTGTCGCAGTCTTTTCTTTTTTTTTTTTGGTTTTTCTCCGGTACCGGGAACCGAACTCACGACCTTGCGCTTGTCAGGCAGGCGCTTTTGCCACTGAGCTAAATCCCCAGCCCGTCGCAGTCTTTTCATTGGTGTGTTTAGAAAGTGAACGCGTGACATAACTGTTTGGGTACAGGTCTGACACTTTATTGTCTGTTCATTGCCCCTCATTTATGTTCTGCTCCTTTCTCTTTCCTGCCTTGTCTCTGACTGTTTCTGTGTTTTCAGCACCCACTTTAGTTTATCAGCCTTTAACTACGTCTCTTTGCAGGCTCATGCGTTTTCTGTGGCCAGTCACTTTGTAAAAGAACGAGGCTTCCTCACTCAAAGTTCTGGCTGGAGCCGAGTGCCCTCTTGTCACAGAGCCCCAGTGCGCATGTGTGTGAGTGTATGCGTGTGCACGTGTGTGTGTGTGTGTGTGTGTGTGTGTGTATGTGTGCGTGCACACACAAATGCCCTGGTCTCTTTCCCTTCTCATGGAGCCAGCAGGGTCACATTTGGGGCCCTGATGACCCTGCACAGTGCTAACCATCACCCCGGGCCCCACCTCTAACATCTGAGCTGGATTGTTTCCCCCTCAAAGCCCCACATGGGGGTGAATCTCAGCCCACAGCCTGAGGACAACTGAACCCTGTCAGACTGCAGGCCTCGAACAGCAGCTTTGGTTTTGGCCTTTTCTCCGGAGACTGTAGGGTCTATACTGCAATCATTGCATCTTTCTTTTTTTTTTTTTTAAACATGAGCTTGCACTTCTTTTTTTTTCTTCCAGTACCAGCAGTTGAACTCATGACCTTGCGCTTGCCAGGCAGGCGCTTTGCCGCTGAGCTAAATCCCCAGCCCTCATCGCACCTTTCTGAATTCATGTTTTCCATTCCAGACAGAAGGCGGGAAGCTCAACCACAAAGCAGCCTTATTCCCTCATAGGCACTGAGGTCTCACTGTCAATCCAGGTACATTTAGATCCCCGGCGTTAAGTTTTGCTCTCAGGAACCATGCGTGTTTCAAAGGTAGGAACTCAGTCAGACACCTGCAGCCGGCCCCCAGCTGTGCTGTCTGTTCGTCCGCGTCAGGCCTCGCTCCCTGCTCTTCAGGCTGCTGTGCTCCCTGGAATCCTCTTTTGTCTCTGGCTGCTCTCAGGGTTTTTTCTTCATCTTTGGTTTCTAGTCATCTGAATTTGGTGCTTCTGGGCGTAGATTTCTTTGAGTTTATCCCCTTTGGAGTTCACTGGGCATCTTGAGTCTGTAAATTTATGTTCTTTTGTAGATTTTGGAAACTTTCGGTCATTGTCTTAGTCCATTTTGCTTTAACAGAACATCCACACCTGGGTAATTTATAAAGAAAACCATTTCATTTCTAGTAGCCCTGGCTGGTCCACCTCGCTCAGCCACCTGGGTGAGGAGGGGTCAGACCTGTTTCTAGGCCACGTCCCCGGCGGCAGGTGTGTCTGCTCCCCAGCCGAGGCCCTGCACCCAGCACTGCTGCCTGGGCCTCGAGCTCCAGCAGGCGGACTTTGGGCCGGCTGAGCGGAGCGGCGCCTGAAGATGCTCCCTGGCTCTCCTGCAGGAGTCCAAGGACGCGGGAGTTGGATCTGCCTCCTGGTCACTGGGTCCCTGAGGCTCTACATTTGTTTAGAGTCCCTCTGTCCTTTTCTGCACACACTGGGTGATCTCCACGGCTCTCCCTAGAGGTCCGCCCATTCTGTGTCTCCTTCATCTTCCTTCTTTTGAGCCCACCGCTGAATTGTACACTTTAGTTGTTGTGTTTTTCTATTCTAAGATTTCCATTTTATTCTTTTTTAAGAAACAGCCCTTCCTTCTCTGCCGAGCCTCCGTTCTCTCCGTTGCTCTGCGGTGTTTTCCCTTGCTGCTTGGGAGAGGACCGCAGCAGCTGCCCGGAACCTGCGCCGCGGGACCCAGGGCTGCTCATTTTCCCCGCTGCTCTTTGCTTGCTAAGTAATTTGGTGTTAATTTGTGGCCTGCTCGTGTTGGACACGGACACTGGGGCTCTGGGGCCGTTTAAATCCTGCGGATTTCCACGGTGTTTGGTGTGAGCGGCCACAAGCCATGCTGGGTCGGGGCTGCGCTCCACCCGCCCTCCTTGGGCCGTGACGTCGAGAACTGTGCCCCGACCCATGACTCTAGCAAGACTTGCAAAACGACTCTTCCTCATTCTGCCTGTCCTTGCTGCCGGATGAGCTGAGTCCCACGAGGAGAATTTCGCAGCTTTCTTTACTCTGAACCACAGATGTGGCTGCTTGTGTTTTTCCTGTACTTGCGTATTTTCCGGGTAGAGCTAGGCCCTGCCAGCTCCACAGTGACAGGCGGGGCGTCGTCCTTGTGCTCTTACCTCATTTGGTGGCATCATGGCTTTTGCCAGAGCTGCTGAGTCTCAGTCTCCTGCAGCTGTTTTTCTCCAGGCCTTGAAGTGTCTGCCAAGGCCTCTCAGCAGGTTGCTGTGTGCCTTCTGCGAGGTTTTGTTTTCCTAATTGTTTTTCTCAGCACTGAAGACTAAGCCCAGCCCCTTCACACTGAGATGCACCCCTGGCTCTTTTAAAAACATTTTTAAGACAAAGTCTCGCTAAACTGCTAAATTTACCCAGGCTGGGTTGAGCTTGTGATCCTCCTGCCTCAGCCTCCCGGGAGGATGGTATTATAGGTGTACACCACCACATCCAGCTCTCACCAGGGTTTAGATTGACCCTTCCCTGATGGCTAGTGAGTGCAAGCATATACAGTGTGTTCCTTGGCAAAGTGTCTGTTCAGACCATTTCCCATTCTATTTTTAATTACTTTTTTCTGTGCTGGGCATCAAAGCGGGGGCCTTTCCCATGCTAGGGTGGGCTGCAATCCATGTGACAGCAGTGCGGTGGTGACCCAGGGGTGGAGGGGCAGGGAGGGTCCCGGGAGCTTGGGACTCATGCTTGGCCACTGTAGAAGCTGTGCCCAGGGTCGTGGATCTGGCCTGTGGCCCGAGGGCCCCTGGTGCTACCTGTCCAGGGGCAGGCAGCCACCACCAGTGCCCCAGGAAGGGTCATGGCCTCTGGGCTTCTGCATCTCTTGCAGGGGACCTGCTTTTCCAGCATCCAGGCTGGGGGCACCTGCAGGGTCCTCAATCCCCCAGGCTCCTTCTGGGTGGGCAGGGGCCTGGGGTGTCACAGACTTGGGTTCCTGGGGGAAGGACCAGGCTAGCAGGTACCAGAGGGGGCTCCTGGGAGGTGGGGTTACCCATGAGGGACTAAGCCCCCTCCCCCCAAGATTCCTGCATGCCCAAGGGACCCCAGAGAGCAAAGAGCCAGAGGAGGTGCTGGAACTCAGGTCAGGGGTCCTGGCGCCACTAGAAGAGGCCACAGAGCACCTCAGGGGCTTAGGCCCCCCGCCCCCCGTGTCCTGGAGACCAGGAGTGGCCAGCCTGCAGGGTGGGCACCAGGTGAGGTGCGAGGCAGAGAGGGCACCACGGTGATGGGGACTGGGCAGGGTCAGAGGTCGAGTGTCGTCCTCGTCCCCCGTGCTGACCACCAGCCCTGGCAGTGTCTCCAGTCCGGGTAGCGTTTGTCCCTGTGCCCCAGAGCCCCAGAGCCCCCCTCATACAGGTTCAGCCTCCCTGACCTTTGCCCCAGGGGTCACAGCAGCCTCAGAACCCTCCGAGTGATGCCCGTCCTCACCACAGGGCCAGGCCTGGGTCCCTGGAGGTGGGGTGCGGAGGAGTGCTGAGGCTCCTTCTCACCGCCGCGGCCCTGGGTCTCGCTGGCCGTGTCCCCCGGTAACGGGCCACCCTGCATGCGCCCTGAGTCCCAGCCGGCACTGCTCCTGTCAGGGTCACCGCGCCTGCTGCAGGCCTGCACGTGTTCTCCTTTCCTGGCCGGGTGGGGGCGGACGGCAGCTTTGGTCCCTGGTGTCTGGTTTGGACCTGGGGATGGCGCTGAGCTGAGCTGCTCCTGCTGGTGCCGGGGTGCAGGCACGGAGCCCAGCTGGTGTGGCCCTAGCTCCAAGCCGGCTCCATCTCCCCAGGTGTCTCCTCACCCACACTCCCTAGGACTAGACACGGTGGGGGCTCTCAGAACATTCCTTTTAACCCAAAGCCTTCCTTGGGATGTCCCTTATGTGTGTTTGGGTTCTTGGGCTCAGGGGCACAATTATGCTGCTGTTGCTCTCCTGCTTCAGCCTCCTGAGGATTATAAACTGGGATTATAAGTGTGTACCACCACGCCCGGCTCCCATAGCTTTTTGTCTGGTTCTCAGAACCAGTTCCGCTCTGGACAGCATTTGTGCACCTCTGTCCCTGTCACTCCCGTGTGGCCGCTGCGATGCAGGCTGGGGCTGGTGCCCCTTTGCTGACCTGCAGCCCCTTTTTGTCTTTTTTCTTTCTTGAGCTTTATGTTTCTACTCTGGAGATTTTGGGGGGGTTTTTGTTTTGTTTTGTTTTTGTTTGTTTTTTGTACCAGGACTCAAACTCAGGACCTTTACACTTGCCAGGCAGACGCTGTGCTGCTGAGCTAAATCCCCAGCCCTGCTCTGAAGTTTAGATTCATCTCAGAAAGACCAGTGTTTGGTTGTGTTTTTTATCTCTTCTGAGGCAAGATTTCCCTGGTTAGTGTTGTTTTGCTTTTCTTGGTGCCTATCTCAGTCTCTCATCCTCTCTGCCTCTGTCAGGTGGGCAGTGGTGTGGACGGCCGTGGGGTGGGCATCCCTCCTCTGGACCCTGCAGAGCCCCTGGCCCAGAGCCCTGGGGGTGCCCAGGTCCTCATGGCCTCATGGCCCACTAGCACAGCTCCCAGCAGCCAGTGCTGAGATCGACCCAGCACCAAGCCGGGCCCGAGCCCCGACCTCTGCAAACTCAGGCTCCCTCCGGGACACCACAGAGACCCTGTTCCACGCTCAGCGGGGCAGGTGGCATCTGCTGTGTGGGGCAGAGACGGGTCCGCCCACCACCTGCTGCTCCAGCTGACCACTAGGGTAAAACAGGCCATGGAGACTCCGCTGACTTCTACTTGAGTCATGGGGGCTGGTGACGGGTGGCCTCGAGACCAAGGAAGCTGGGGTGCCCATGAGGGCAGATCGCCAAATGTCCAGGAGGCTTGGGGTCCCTGCATGGGGATGATCCCCCAGGACTCGTCCTCAGCCCAGAACTATGGTCGCTGGCCCTGCTGGCCTGTGTTGTGTCTGTGTGACAACCCCAGGGCAGTCAGAAGCAGAGAGGGAGAGCGAGAGGGAGAGAGGGTCACAAGCTGCGGCAAGGACCATGCAGCTGGGAGAACAGGACACCACTGCCCACTTCCTGCCGGCAGGTAGAATGGACAAAGAGGAGGGACAGAGTCCCTGTCTCAAGGGCACAGTCTGTGACCTGACACTCTCGCTGGACCTTGTAAATGGCAGTGACTATTAAGGGTGCCCCTGGGGGAGCAGCCACAGAGACCTGGGCTCGGGGGACATCCAACACCCAACCATGGCCGGGACCCTGGCCTGTGTCAGGCCCGCTGTTCCCTCCGCTCTCACCCCTGCACCTCACTGCGTGTGCTGTGTCCTGTTGCTGCTGAGAGGACCCTGCCCGCTCCATTTCTGCTAAAGGGGGCACAGGTAAGGACTGCAGGCAACCTCCACCCCAGCACCCCAGAGCTCAGAGAGGGTCAGGAGAGGGGCGTGGAGACCATCCCGTCCCGACCTGCACCCTCCAGCTGGCCTACTGCCTCCTGTTCTTAAAGTGGGGGCTAAGTGTCACCTGTCTCAGCCGGGGTTGAGGGTAGGTTACGGGGTGTGGGTCCCCTCGCACTGTGTGACCCTGGCTTCCCTGGGTCCCGATAGGGCAGGAGCAGCCTTCCCACAGCTCTCTAGGGCTGTGGTGGCCACAGAACGGAGGCGCTTCAGGGTCAGGCTGGCCTTCGGGCCTGCTCTCTGGCTCTCAGGACCCGGCGGGAGGACCCCACTAGGGGACCTGGGGCTCAGAGCCAGGAGAGCCTGGCGGCTGCGCCCCAAGAGCCCACCTCCCACACTCATAACTATTGTTAATTAAGACTGTCTCCATTATAGGGCTAATTAACAATTAGCATAAACATAATTAGCCAGCGCTGACATTTAACTCATTTCATTGTTTAAATAATTTTCGGAAATCGCCCTGAGCGCATTCTGTCAGCTCGTAATAATGGCTGCACTTTGTCATGTAAATTAAACGACACCGGCATTGCTGCTGTCCCACCCTGGAGATAGTCCCCTCGGCCCGGCTGTCCTCCAGCAGCCTGGGCTCTGCACCCAGCCCCACTGCTCTGAGCCCCTCAAGGGCGAGAAATTCCCAGTGTGGTGTGGTCCCTGCCCCAGGGACCTGGGGACCACCGGCGTCCTGAGGGAGGAGGTGACACCTGGGCCTGGGGAATTTTCACTACCTCAGCTTCTGGAAAGTTCTAGATGCCAGGGTCCATTCTCCTGGAGAATGGGCATCCTCAGGCCTGGTCCTGCGAGGCCAGGGCTTTGCAGGCTTGGCAGGGCTGGCCCAGCCGGTGGGGAGCAAGGCCCTCCCAATGTGGTGGTAGCTGTGGCCTGCTGTGCAGAGGACCCGGCTGGACACGGCCAGGGCTGCAGGCCAACGGGCTTCTCCTCAGCCCGCAGCCTCCAACCCCAAGTCCTGCCAGTGACCGTTACTACAGGGGCTGCTGAGGGCTTCCTTGCACCCTCCTGGGAGCCAGCATCTACACGGATGACTATCCTCACTGACCATCCACACTGGCCACCCTCCTTCCCTCCCTGTGCTGGCTTTGATGTGGGCACTGCTGGGACCCGTGTGGCCCTCACGTCACCAGCTCCATTTATTCCTTCCTCTCCCCACTCCCTTCTTTTTGTTACCATGGGCAGCATCTGAAGTGGGGCTCAGTGTCTCCTCCTGCCTGGTCCTGCCTGCTCTTGGGATGACCGCTATGGACCATCACGGCACTGCCCGCCTGGTGCCCGGCACCCTGCTGTGTCCCGGAGGAGGCTGGCAGTGCTCCCTGCCCTGCTGGGCTGTCTTTCCTGCCCTGCTGTGACACTGGCTGCCTAGCATCGCTTCAGGCTCCCTAGGTCCTGCTGCCCCCTGCTCCACGGCCCCTCCCAGGCAGGTGCCACCAAGGGCCTGGAGGTCAGTCACAGCCACCTGCTGCTGTGGGGCACCTGTGTGCATCCCTAGCGCAGAGAACAGCAGATAGATGCCAAGTCTCGTCCCAGAGTGACCATGGTCAGCCCCTTCCCAGGCAGAGCCAGTGGCCTGCGGCCCAGGGTGGCTAAATCAATGTCCCGCACGTTGTTGGGACCCGGTTCTGGCTGTTAAGTGCTTGTCAGCGTCCACAGCCCTCTTGCGACTCTATAAAATTCCCGAGAATTATAGGAGCGCCGGGGTCACATAATTCATTGCACAGTAGATTTAACCTGGCGGCCAGTAATTCATATTTGTGGCGATAATATTGTTTTCCACTTTCCGAGAGTTATCGCCGTGTCTCCCTTCCAGGTCACTATGGATATCAAAAATCAATTTGGAAAGATGGATACCGTCAGGGAATAAAGCATGAAGGCACGGCCTCCCCCTCACCACCCCGCTCCGAGCACCGCGCCGCCGCCCTGGCTCCTGAACCTCGGCAGGGCTCTGACTGCTCGCCCAGGACGCGACTGGAAGTCACGCTGCGTGCTCGCGGCCCTGCGCCGCTCCATGGAGGCCACCGCTGTCCCCGCCGCCTCCTCCGCCTGCCCGCGGTTCAGGTGCCCTGGGCGGGGCTCCTGTCGGTCTGGGGCGTCTGTGGAAGGCGCGGCCCCTCACTGCAGGCTGGGGAAACAGCAGCTGCTCAGGACCCCACAAGCTTGGCCCCGGTGCTGGGCAGCCCAGTGACCGTCCCTGGAGTAGGTGACGCTGATTGACACCTCTCTGGGGAGGCCGCCTTGTGCATCAGGGACCCAGGGCCCAGGGAAGGAGAGACCCAGACCCTGCCTCCCGGCCCTGGAGTGCACAGCAACCAGGGACAGGGGCGTCTGCTGGGCCCTAGGGGACAACTGCACAACTCTGTGCCGGCACCTGTCACACCCACGTGCCATTCCCGTGTTCCCAAACCCCAGCGTGGTCTAGGGGGCCACCTCAGGGGACAGAGCCCCACCCTCACAGGGACCAAGAGCACCAAGTGGGTGGGGAAGGACAACGTCCAGGAGGGTCCCGGCAGAGCCTCCCTGAAATGTGCAGAAATGCCATTGCCCCACGAGGACACCGAGGAGGCTGGCCGGGGACGAGGGAGGCCGCTCAGTGTCGCCCGCGGAAATCAGAAATCGGCCGAGCACCTGGCGTCTGTGTGGTTCCAGAGAGGCTTCGTCCTCAGGGCCTTCCGGAATCCTGAGGCGCAGCACGGGAGGGCGCCTGGCTCATGCAGGCAGCAGCTGGGTGTTAGGGTTCACATCTGGGTGAACCAAAGCCTCACGGGTGTGTAGGTGGGGCCTCGGAGGCGACTGGTTCGTAGGGTGCCGTCTCCTGGGTGGGTTCATCCTCTGATGCGTTGTGTTGCTGCTTGTGCTGTGGGGAGGTAACATCTGGGCTGCCGGCCGCCAGAGGGAGCCTCCCCCTCCCTTGCCCCTCCTTCTCCCCTCCCCTCCCCTCCCCCCCTGCTTCTGCCCCCCTGCCCCGCCCCGCCCCGCCCCGCCCCGCAGGGGCAGCTTCTCTCCACGTGCAGAGCCCAGATCACCCACTCCTCTAACCTCTGTGTCAGTGTCATGACCAGAAGGTGGCGGAATCCGTGGGAACCGCGTGCCCTGGCCAGCTGTGGGCTGGGAACCTGTGACA